GCTAGAAGTAATTCATATTCAGAAGTTCTTATTATAAAGAAGTATTGTTCAAAAGTTACATGCTTCAGAACCTTGCGCAGCTTAGCTAAGAAGTTGCATGTTCAGAACCTTGTTTTGAATTTTATTATCATAGTTAGTTTTTCTTACGTGACATATGAAGTTTGTGTATTTAAATAACTTTGTAACTAGTTTTTTAATAATGCGGAATTTGAGTTTTTTCAATCAAAAGTTTGTTATAATCTCTCTCTCTCTCTCTCTCCTACAAAAAGTCCTTGTACGTCGGACGCGAAATACGTTTTCCTTCGGTTACAGTAGCAACGTAAATAAGGTCATTATAAAAAGTATGGACTTAGCACCTCGGTGTTTAAAACAATGAGGGGTATTATAATTGTGTATGGGTTCGAACTCCACCAGTTGCATTTTTATTATTTACAATAATAGTGCTTCATGTATCTTAGGTTATCAATAAAACTGAGGGATAAATTATTTGTATTTTTTAATTTAAATTGGTTACATTGCTTACACGTAAAATTAATAAAATAGTTTGTTTACAAAAAACAATGTTTATCAAAAATATTAAACTGGTTACATTATTTACACAGATTATCAAAATAAAAATTAAATTCTCCATGAAGATCATATGTTGGATCTTCTAATCTGTGATATCTTGGAAAAACTGTATGCTGCGAAATAATATATTTTCTATGTTTTTCATTGCATTTGTCTCTGATATCAACAAAAAAGGGTTAGATAAATGAATTATTTTCTTCTCAAATAAATATTTAAGTACACAAACCTTAAACTCAAATAACTTTATGCTCTTGCAATCTATCATAGAGAATTCTTCATGACAAAGACTCTTGCATATCTTAAAGTGGAGGATAGTCTCAAGCGCTCCATGATGTTTCATTATCAAATTTTGATATTCATAATGCTTTTATAATGAAATTTAACATAGATTTCACGCGGATCACTAATGGTAGTGTCTTGAGCATTGATAGTCATGAAATGGACGACAAGGATTTGATTAAGGACGATGACAATATCCTCAATTTTAACGCTAAAAAGTCCCCTCGGATTTTAGGAACACCGAGGTGCAAGATATTTTTTAAGTCATATTATTTACAAAGAATATTACAACAAATTCTCACTTCTGATTTAGGCTTAGTGAAATTAACAAAAGCATATCCTTTATTCAGCCCAGTTCTGTAAATTAATAGTAAACAACACACAATCATCAATCGTCATTATTTTTAGAGAATGATATGAATACTGAATGTTCTAGAGAAAGAATTTGGTATCCTACCTGAAATCTATTGGCAAGTAGACAAATTCAAAGGAGAAAGTGTTTTCAACAACAGATCTTTGGTGGAATCTAAATTTTGTTACATACCTTTATGTTGCATATATAAAAATTCACTCCATAACTTATCCAATTTCGGATAAGTTATTTTGTTTTCTACACTTGCAATCCATCTTAGAGATTTGTTCTTAAGCGGTTTTAGATCAACATTTTGCATGACAATGGACAGTGATTATAGCTAGATTTAGGATAAAATCTATTTAACAAAGGTATTTATAGTAAAATCTGATAACTTTACCCCTCGACGTTAGCATAAAACTGAGGTATTAAATCTTCCGATTATAACTATAACCTCGTTTTTTTTTTAAAACTAAGGTGAAAAGGTTTTTTTTTTTTGGAATTTACGTTGTTTACACAAAATATAAAATAAATGGTTTAAAACAAATCTTTGCTCTTTTGAATGAATATCTTTGTTGATATCCATCATTCGATTAGTTAAGCTCCCTTCATTGTGTAACTTTTAAAAAGAGAAGGGAGCTTCCTTAATTGTCCCCTTGAATCAAAAATGATTTTTCTATACTTGCATTCTATCTAATGAGCAAAAATACAGCAACAACACCAACAACAACATCGACACCATTATATAAAATATGATTGCAAGGGCATAAAAAACATTTTGTTTTATAAGAACATTGAAGGTTTTTTCTGTTTTGCAATTCATCCCAAAGAAATGATGCTTGCGAGTTTGGAGCGGACTACAAATTAGTAAAGATTAGGGTAAAATCTTTTTGCTTTTATAGTGAAATTTGTTTAGTTGATCCTCCAGGTTATATCGAAAAACAGAAGGGTTAGTTGTTTTAGTATACAATTATAATAAAAATAAAACATAAACTGTAAAAGTTTGGACTCCAAGCGCGTCCATATTAATTTTACCCGTCAGATATATTAAGAAACCGAGGTAAATTGTTATTTTTACAATTAAAAAAGTATAAAACATGATGTACCTACGCTTAATACCTCGTTGTTTTTCTGGATGACGTGAATGCTTCGTCATGAATACGTTATTTGTTGTAGTGTCTTCTTCCATCTTCATCATCAATCTTCAACCTTGTGCACCAACAATTGATATATAGAGCTCTGATTCGATTCACAGGGAAACAAGAGTGTACGTGAGGTGTGTGTAATTGTTTCGTTTATTGAATTTACGTTAAATTCATGATCAGAATCGTAACAGAATTGCATTTCTTGATTTTGAGAAATTGAGAAACACGAGTGTTTGGTGAGATCTGTTTTATTTTCAAAGCACAAGAACAAAGATGAACAGAAGAAACAACTTGAATAAAAAGCTTCAAGTGTTTGATGGAAAGAGTTGGAATTGGTGGGTGTTTCAAATGTGGTGTTGTTTGGTGCTTACTACGTTCTTGATCTCGTCACTGATAGTTACATTCCGATTGTAGAAGATGTGATAGAGGAACAGAGAAACACACAAAGAGATATGAAGAAGAAAGATCAGAAAGCGATGTTCCTGAAATGTTTACTAAATTTCAGAAGTTCAAAGTAATGGATGAAAAACATAGTGGTCAAAAGCTGAAAGTTCTCATAACTGACGGTGGTGAAGGTGAGTACAACTTTATAAAGTTTAATAAGTTATGTCAGGAGAATGGAATTAATCATGAGGTTGCTACACTATACACTACTCAACACAATGGTCTTGCTGAACGAAGGAATAAAACTTTGCTTGATACGACAAGAGAATTCTGAAAGAGAAGAATTTGTCTCACACCTTATAGGGAGAAGTTGTTGCCACTTCAGCATATGTGCTCAACAGATATCCAACCAAGAAGTTGAAAGAAACTATTCCTTTTTAGAAGTAGACTTGAGATAAGCAAAATGTGAGTCATTTCATAGTATTTAGTTATGTTGGTTACGAACATGTTCCAGTTCTACAAGAAAGAAGTTGGATTGATAGAAGCAAAGTAATGTTATTGGTGAATAACATAGTAAATTTTCTTATAAGATTTATTCTCCACTCACTAATAAAGTTGAAGTCATCAGAGATGCCATTGTAAAAGAAACAGAAGTGTGGGATTGAAGCAAGTCTCAACCCAACTTTGGTACAATGTTGACACCTGAGATAAATTTTGAAGGAGAATATGCCTTTGAAGGGGATTTTGTTTCTGAAGATGAGTCAGATCCTGAAGGTGACTCTGAATCAGAAAGAAGTCTCTATAGACGAGTCTGAATCTAAAAATGAATCTAATTTTGAACCAGATTCTGATGATGTTCCATACTCTGGAGGTAACTCATCCTCTAACAGTGGTCATGCTTCTGAAGGTGGACCTTCTAAAGATGGTCCAACTTCTGAAGGTAATCCATTATCTGATATTGTTCCAATATCTAAAGAAGATTC